ATAAGTGAAACTTTGGCGAGTTAGTTTGTTTACCTACTATTTTAGAATTTAACTAATTTATATATATATATACAAATTTTTTTTTTTTTTATTTTTCTCTTCAATAGTAACCCTATCCTGGAGGAGTTTATTTTTTAAGTATTACATACTCCCCGTGAATTCCACGTGATATATTTTAGTTACATAATTGTTTTTTGTGTTTTTAAAAATTGAAAAAAACATAAGAAAGTAACTAAAGCATAAAGAAAAAACTAAAATAACAGTATAAAATAAAAGTTAAAACTAACACTATATATGGAATAGTAATTAAAATATTTTAAGTCTTCTATATAAATAAACAATTATCTAAATTTAAATAAATGAAATTCCAAGTTTAAAGAGACTTTGTGTTGATAGAAACATTAAAATAAAATATATTTGCTTTCAAACAAAAGGTAACAATAATAATAACAACGGTTGGTCTTACCAAAAAAATTTTATCGTATATCAATTCAGAATTCCCGACATGCCATAATAAATTCAGTTTTTCGAATATCTTGCTTAAATTAAAAGTTTTCCAGGTGTTTTTGCTGTTTCTTATGCCTTGTCCGACAACTGTTCGCCGTGTTAGATAGGCGAAAAGGAAAAAATAGTGTCGAAAACTAAATGATAACGAGTTTTATTGAAGAGATGTATTAAAATATCTCATTAAGTAAAAATTAAACCTGCATTCTGTAATCCAGGGAAATTTCAGTATTTATCCTCTTCATAATTAGCTATTATTTATTAGTTATATCTTATATTATTAATCTCGCCTTTGTCGAGAACATCCTCGATGTTTTCACTTCTATCATAAGCACAAACAATTTTTTTTTGTTTTTTGTAGCCTTCCTTATAAATAATTTTACTTGTAGCTTACTCTTGAAACCTATGTTTAACGAATAATAACAATTATTTTGGTGATAAAGTAGACTGTTTCTAATCAGTAATTAGTTGTTTATTATTAGTTTGGCATTGATTGCTATGTGTTGTGTATGGCGGTGGATAGCACATTATAGGACCCTCTCCCCTCCCAATATGGCCGTTCTGCAGTATGGCCGAACATTCTTTAGATAGCTGCAGTTTTATGTTAACTTCATTCCCTCTTACTTTATTTGTAGTTACTCGCATTGCTGGAAATTATATTCTCTCACATTCTTTGGAAAAAAGCAAACAAACACAAGAAAAGGTTTCTAATCATCAAAATTTGTAATGTCAAAATAATTTGGAATTTTTACATAATAGCAATTTTCTGTGCTTCGGGCTGAAATTTTTAAGATCGCTCTACTTTACAATAGGTCATTGATAATAAACCAATTTCTTTTATAATTAAACCGAAGTATGCTCGTGTTTAAGTTTTTATTTTGATTAGTTCAGTTCTTTTGTTTATGTACATTTAAATTTAGTATTATTATTTTCTGTATCATTTATTTTTATTTATTATGGATGATTAATATTCAGGACGCAGTCTTTTTAAATTTTTTATTTATACCCACATCAGTTATCACCCATGATATGTAGACCAGTCGACTAAGTTCCTTCAAGGATTTTTATTTATTGTAAATAGACTGTGAATGTGCTCTTGGAACACTATTATAAATAGTCTTAGTTGTGAAAGATTTATTTCTCAATAAATAAGTTTAAAATAAAAATAAAAATATCCCTAAAATTACAAGTTAAGAGTTTCTTTAAATCCAAAAAAAAAAAATTATATCAAATGATCATTTCATGCCAAATCAACCGTAGGTCGACACCCACCCCTTTGAGATCTTAATGAAAATTTGTGAATATTAATTAAATACTGTCAAGGCAGACATTAATACTTTTGAAATATTTGCCAGTTTGAGCTTTTTTATGTTAAACCAATATTTATTTAACTAGAACTTTCACACTTTATTTATTTGCCCTACATGTAATTCAGAATCTGTTGATACCATAAGTTTTAATATTATAAAATTTCTTCATGTATAAAATAATTTTTAAATATAAAAATTAATATTGTTTCATAATATATATACAAAAAAAAAATAACGCTAATATTTATGGTATCAAGAGATTTTACATTAAATTTAGGACAAATAATTTACTTTACTTACGTGTTAAAGCCTTAGGCTAAAACTGTCTTCCCTACTTCAAATATATCAGAAGTTTAAATATCGATAATTTTGATACATTTTCCTATTTGCGTATAAACTTGATATTTACAATTTTTCATTAAGATTTGAGAGGTACTAACTCATTTCATTAACTTTAGCCGGGCGGGTTTCCATGGAATGTCACCAAAACACATTCTTCTCTTAGTTCTAAGTTACTTTTCTTCTACTTAATTTATAGTCAGTTTCATATAAAACTTTAAAAGTGAACACATGTTAAAAAATCTCAAAAAATAAAGAGTTTTGATTTAAAATACTTGCGAGGAAGTATTCTAAATTTGTTCACAAAACTCAAATTTAATTATTTGCAAGGTTTTTTTAATTCTCTACAAACCGGAAAAAAAATCATCCTTATGGTACTATGATTAGTAAATATAAATTCGACGTTTTAGGTTTATTGTTATTATGAACCATTCACTGTAAATGTATTTTCAGTTAAAAAAAAAAAATACTCTTTGTAAGATAATTTACATTCGAAAAAAAAATACAGTTGTTGCGTATCTTCTACCAGCAGAATTGTATAATAAATGAACAACCAACTTTAAAGTGTTGGTAATAAATAATAATAAAAGTTTCTGTACTTCATTTTCATTGAACATACTTTACATTCCGGCAACTATGATCTCATGAAAGAATTTCGTGTACAATTCTATTTTCAAAAAAAATTTAGCAGGTAAAAAAATTGTTATTGTATATGCATAATAAAAATTAGTACAGTTACTTATAAATGAATCCCAATTAAAACACACCACTGTATAGGTAGTTGGTTCAGAACTCTAACCAATTAAACTGTAAAAGTATGATGTGTGGTTTTCCTCAATATCTTTGGCTAACGGGTTTCTAATGTTAGTACCAAGGTATGTATGGCTTGAATTAGTTATACCTTACAAGCCTTGTTTTTACTTTAGTTTGTTGATTTTAACATATTTTAATTTTTTTTACAAGAAGAATGGTGTTACAACTGATACATCTAAAAAAACTTATACAATATCCTGAAGACCTGAGTTAGACTGAAAATTTTAATTTCGTGTTCTGAAGTAAATTTTCCTGTTAAGGATTAAGTTAATCATTTTATGAATACTTAAATAATTGTAATAGTCTTTTTCAATATATTTGTCATCTGTTATATTTTAATAAATAGATTTTAAAAATTTAATTTTGCACTTTTTTTGTGGAGAGTGAATTAGATTGAGCCGTCAGATCTCCCAGATGTGAAACGCTCGGGAAAAGTATAAAATGGATTAATATATCTCAAAAACTAAAAATCGGACATGCATATTGTTAGCGAACGAACATTCATCATTTCATCCTCTTTGTAATGAGCTATTGTACGAAATTGTATCTTAACGCGACGCCTTGTTAGAGAGGTGAAAAGGGAAAAATAGTGTCGAAAACGAAATGATAACGAGTTTTATTGAAGATATAGATTAAAATATCTCATTAACTAAAAATCACACCTGCATACTGTAAGCGAGGGAAATGTTCTACATTTCATCCTCTTTATAATGAGCTATTGTTTATAGTTTATATTCCATTTTATTAATATTTAGTTTTTTTTTTTTACGGTTGTATTTCTATCTCCTAGTAGTATATAACATAATTTGTTTAGTTGGAGGTTTTATCATATTCCTAAATTCTAAATTTGTCATGTAGTGCCCAGTCTTCTAAAACGTTGCACATGAACGTCTGCTATACATTTTGTTTTTCTCTTCCTCGTCTTTTCGGCTATGGTGGGGGTGGGTTTCGAAGCCATGGGAGAGTGCGGGGGATCAATATCAGAATTAAAATCCCACGCACTCTGGAAAAGCGTATCGTTATTTTACAGGCATCAGCGGATTCAAGAGGCGCGCTGTCAGGCTGAAACCTCTTCCTCCATTAAAATAGAAAATTAATTGTTTTTTGTTTATTTGCTCTTGTTTTCATGAATGGCAAGATCGGAATAGTTTAACAATTACAATATTCTTTCTTTTTAAACGATAACGGATGTATTTCAGCAACTTAATGTAAGGACGTGTCAAGAAAAAGTATAGAAACTTTACTCCTTAAAACAAACTTTACCCATCTTTGATGAATTTCAGGCCTTTTTTCATTTTATTTTCTTTCCTTATTTTTTTTTTAAATTAGAAATTAAATTTCTTAAAAATGACTGCAGATTAATGCTTTTCGACTTTTGGCTCTTCGGCCCTTTTATGGATCCAACATTAACAACCCTTTTTTCGTAAGTAAAAATTGAAATCTACATTTCGGCCTCTTTGAGTTATTAGTTCTTGGGTACAACAAACCTTGATGAAGGGTCAAACATTTTTAATAGATTTATTTCTATTTTGAATTTCTTTTTACCTTAACCCGGACCATCTCTTACATCTTACTCATTATTATTTCATGCATGAGATCGTAGAATTGGTAACTTTGTGATCTTAAGATCTTATTATAACAGCATTGAATTGTGTACATTCAACTTTATTGAAGTATATGCATCGCGAGAAATCTTGAACTTATCAACCACCAACCGATCAACTTTTTTTCATTTTCTTTTCTTTCCTTTTTTTTTTTAATTACAAATTAAATTTCTGAAAATTACTGCAGATTAGAGCACACGCGATTCCTAACACCTTAGTTTGTTTTTCTGAAAATACAGTTATGAGTATTCATTATATTTCTTGTATTTTCCATAGCTATCTGTTTGTGTTTCAGGTGTTTTTAAAATTTTTAAACTTTTCATTTCTTGTCGTGTTATCCTTGTTCTCGTTCTGATTTTTTTTTTTTCATCGTTTGTCCCGTTTCCGATCACCTCCGTGTATGAGACATGTTATCCTTCTTCGGTGACAGTGCTCCTCAACTTCTTTGTGGTGATGGAGGACGATTCCCGCCGAGTAGGGCAGTGGACCAGAGGCCGGGAGGTGCCCGTAGCCTTCGCAGGAGAGAGGCCCCACAACACAAAAACACTCGGCCATTATACGAGTCAGGGACGAGCTAGCCGGAACATCCTCACTTTTATTTCGGCTCTTCACGCTATTTAGTCTCGTGTCGTCCTCTGTGGGAGAGTTGGGTTGGGGGGCTTTTGAAGGTCTCTCTTCGGTTGCACAATGTTGCAGGATCTACAATTACCAACGATTTCTGTGTTTATCACATCCCATTGCCGTATTTTAAGCAACGTAAAAAATAAGTGATCTTGACATGATGCTGTGAAGATAGTTTATTAGTTGATCGTGTATATAATGAGAGGTATGGGATGGAGGTCAAATGACGTTTCGACTTTTGACCCTTCGACCCTTTTACGGATCCAACATTGAGAACCCTTTTTTCTTAAGTAAAAAATGAACATCAAAAATTGAAATCTACATTTCGGCCTCTTTAAGCTGTTAGGTCTTGGCTACAACAAACCCTGATGAAGAGTCGAACGTATGTTTTAATAAATTTATTTCTATTTTGAATTTCTTTTTTATCTAAACCCCGGACCATCTCTTACATCTTACTAATTCTTGTTTTATGCATAGGATTGTACAGCTGGTAACTTTGTGATCTTAAGATCTTATTATAACAGCATTGTTACACGACAAATGCTTTATAATTCAACCCGTCTCTTTCTGCAATAACATTCCTCCCGATATTCGACATGCGCAATCAGTTTCCTCATTTAAATATCTCCTTTTTAAGCACCTAATTCTTTCCCAATTGAAATTAATAAATTATGAAAAGTAGAAAAGAGAACTTTTTGAGTTCTCCCAGAAATGATTTTGTATACTTATTTTATTTTATTTTCACATGTTTTTATTATATTTATCCGTATGATTTTAATATTTTTGTTTTATTTTTCTTGCAATATTTTAATTTTAATGAGAATTGTAAATATTTAATTTAATTTTATGGCCACACAGGCATTTCCTCTGTATCTATAATTTGTCCTGAAGGGACAACAGTCCAAGGATAATAAAAATCTATTTTCGTTTCATTGATTTGTGTATACTCAACTCTATTGAAGTATATGCATTGCGAGAAATCATCAACTTATCAACCACCAACTGAGAGAAAACATCAACCGAGGAAATATATTTATAATGAAATCGAAAATAAAAGTTCAATGAAACTAACTGTAAATAACTTTATACTGCTGACTAGATATTTAGATATTTCTATCTAACCAGTTAACGATCTTCCATTATGCCAATCAGTTCCAAGATTACTTCAGTTTTATTATTCACCTCATGAAGAAGATTTAAACACATTCTGTGTGAATGCGAAAAGCTTACCTTGTACTAAATGCAACTACTACATCAAGTCAAGTTTAAACCTGATGATATTATTAAAACGTATTCTAAGAACTTAATGTTTCCCAAAAAAACGGTCTTGGTCTTGTTCTTGCATTCTCTCAAGACCTAATTGTAGCAAAACCAAGACTACTTCATGGGTCTCGCAATTAACTTAAACTGAGGCTTTGGCGAAATTAAGTATTTGGTTTCAATGTCTATATTAGTGAACGTTCTCTAGTACCGGTATCCAAAAAAAAAAAACTATTCCTTCCTTCTAAAACAAAGTTTGTTTGTTGTAATACTAAGATTTAATTTTACTAGTCCTGGTCTTGGTCTTGGTCTTGCAAAGTGCAAGACCAAGACAGATTTTGGACAACACTAGACTTGACAATGTATATATAAATATCAGATCAAAACTTTCATTCCCTGACTGAGTGTTCAATGCTAAGACCAAAACTAATTTTGTTGACGCAACACTATGCCTCATAAGAAGTTAATGAGGGATCTCTGAATAAATCGAGGAATTTCCTTAAATGAGCCATATGAACTTTCCACTCTGAGTATAATTCATTTTTAGAGAATTAAATATCTACCCTTCACAGATACACGGGACAGCCAAAAAGACTCACATACGTTAACTACAGACTTTTCAGTCTAAAACTTTCAGGACTATCACCAAGGCTCCCTGGTACGTAACATTATTTTCAATACCTTCAGATGCCAGCATTTAACGACCGCATACGAACATACTACAAAAGATTTCATAATAACTTACACGGACATACCAACTCATTGATTCGAGGCATGGTCACAACTAACATGGCCCGATACCATCTGAAGGAGGCTTAAAAGAAATTGGATGAGAGATCTCTTCTACTAACCATAAATATTTCATTCAAGGCAGGAAGGACGCCGCTTGGCAATCCTCTCCCTCACGCCTATTCCAAGACCTATTAATCTTCTACATCTCGACATCACACTCGCTGATTGTCGGAGCTTCTGACAGGTGTGATTTGGAAAATTAAGTTAAAAAAAAATATTGATTTGAATATATTTTATTCATTTTTTTGTTTATAGTATGTGCTTTCTTTACTTAATCTATCATTTCTGTCTGAGAGAGAATCACTTTATTATCATAAAAGGGTGCTGCCCAATCACATTGGGTTGCTAAAAACACAGCATACTTGTTAATCACCACTGACAATTTTTAAAACTAATATACAATTATATAGGATTAACAATATGTCAATTAACACTTTTGGACTTTGTGTGTTAATTCACTTATATCTGCTGGTCGATGGAGATATATTTCGTTTGTTTAATATCAACGGTAACCTAAACTAACTTGCTCTTATAATACGTCCTGTAATCAAAGCATTATCCATATCCTCCAAACAAGGACCTTATCATCGTAAACGTTATGGATTAATATGGTCTATTAATGCGGAACCTCTTTACTTGATGGTGTTGTGCTATGATGATATGAGAATCTTCTTGCCATTACAGATTCAATTAATTCTTCTTTAAAGTGGTTGTTAAACTTTATTATCATTTAGCCTTCGTGCATCCATTTTGCACATTATCCTTGCGTGCTAACACGTCACTGAATTTTACTCATAATGATATTATGTTTTGTAGAACCTTATTCTGCAGTGGATGTGTTAATTTATTTTTTATACCGTGTTCGCTGGTGTTTATGTGGTACGATTAATGTTTTTCTTATCTCATCTAGTTAATTATCGTGCGTAACAAAATCGAAGATATCTTAGAGTAATTTAATGCTTTCTGAGCTGCCTAATGGCTTGTTTTATGTTTTATCTTGTCTAGAGAAAGCATTCTAATGGTTTGTGCGATATGGAGCTTTCTACGTGCGATTAATAGGATAGGTTTTAAAAGTATCTTAAGATAGAATTATTAACAGCGAGTTTTCACTAGACATAGCCATAACAATTTTAATCACGGTTAAAATTCATAAAATACTTCGACAAGCACTTTTTCAAAAGACTTTATTAATGACAACATTAGTTGGAATTACGGTTTTAATTTTTGAAATGTGTATAGAATTCTATTTTTTAGAATTCAAAAATATCTTAAAAACTTTTATCTTTGTCTTGGAAAGTATATAATAAAATTAAACTGAAAATCTCAAATCCGTAAAAAATAAAATACAAACTTATTTTCTTCTCCTAAATAGTTTTTGTTTTTAGATACTCTTGGTTTTTGCAATGTGGTTATATTGGTTTATTACACTTCGCCTTAGTAAAAAATATGGGAAACGGATTATTGGAAACAATAGAACCGTAAATATAATTAAATGCAATGACAATACATACAGGAATTACGCGACGTATTTCAAGTTCACTAACTTTCTAAAATACAAATTAATCTAATATTCTAAAGTTTTTACTAATGTCTAAACCATTGATTCAGTCATTAAACTTGTTTCAGTAAAATTATAATTGTAACTCCAATTATAAAGTAAATTTGAGTTATAACTCCTTTATTAATCGTTATTTATATTTAAACTAATAAAATTTGTATGGTAGTGAACCTTCTTCCATATGCATTATCATGGCAATTATGGTCGTATTTCTACCTAAATGTACGCACACAAACTTTTATGAAAACACACATATATCTATGAATTTATAATGCTTACGGAAGGTTTAACATTTTCTATATAAGAAATTCTCCTAAATTACCTATATTCTGGATTTTATCATCCACGTATTGCCAAGGCTTCGTTAATAATTAGCGTTTCTAGATTTCTCCTTATTATCAGCATCATCTAACAATACTATTTTATAATGTATAATATTTAATTATTTATAATTTATATTACACTACTGCACGGACCTTTAACATTATATGTAAAATAAAGGTCACAATACAGTTTATTCATAATTTAGATACATTTTTGACAACTTTTATTCCTTTAGTAACCTCGATCGTACCCATTATTTGTAGTGAGAACTAATTTTTCTTACAAAAGCCATTTTAATTTTTAGACTTACTCTATGTGTATGTACATTATAACTACCGTAATAATATTTGAATTTATTTCGGTATTTTCCCAACTGATAAATTTTATACAGATATATATATATATATATATATATATATATATATATATATATTATATATATATATATATATATATATATATGTCTGTATAAAAATTATTAGCACCTGTCATGAGCTTGACAATAAGCAGATGTGCGGTAACTAATAAGAAAAATTGACATTTTAAACATGAGGAAAAAAAATAGCACTTCTGTCTTCTGGTCTTGATTTATTTACTTAATTCAGGAAAGGATTATACTATCGAATTTTCATAAATTCACTTTTAATATTTTATCACAAAAGTTGGATATATTATATTATCCGAATAACTCTTTATTTAAAAAATAATAAATAAAATAAAACAATCGTTTAATATGTAATTTCTATATCTAGTACAGTTTAATTTTTAAAATGAAGGTAAAATTATTCTTTCCAGAGTTCTCCTTATTTAATGGATTTTAAATTTTTACGAAAAAAAAAGCTATGAAGTTACTATTCTTTAACCAACCCATGTAATTTATTTTAAAAAATATATATAATAGCGTAGGTTATATTTTATTACTTAAAGGTTTATTTTTTTTTAAATCCGCAACTCTCATATTCTAATACTTCATCATTAATATATCAAGCTGTCATACTGAACATTTTCTTCGTCGCTAACAAC